ATATATATATATATATATATATATACACACACACACCGGAGTAAGTTTGACACATGCCTTATACAGTTCATACAAACAAACACATTTCTCTTTCACCTAGTTTGTCTCTCTCTGGCAGAAGACTTGTGGTTTTCTCTCAAATCCCACCAGAGTTCAGGGTACGCACATCCTCATGCAAAACGAATTCTCTTTATCGTGTCATAACTCCAACATAAAATTTTATAGGAACATAAAAAAGAACCGAAATTACTTCTGCCACTTAAAGTTCAGAGTCTTTTTTAAATACGTCTGTTTCTCTGCAGCTTCATTTCTACTTTATACATRACTGCCTGTTAGAAACTGGCAGTATTTTTTTAAGGCTTGCACCACTTAGGATGCAGGAAAAAAGTCAAACTATGTCTACAACTACTGATTCTAACATCATGTAAGTGTACAAGCAGACACGTTTAACTGTACAACTTCTCACCCAGACCCCTCGTACCCAGGTCACATCCTGTTCCAACCATTGTCACAAGCCAGGAGATACAGAAGCATTAAAGCAAAGACAAACAGACTGAGAAACAGCTTTTCTCCTGCAGCCTTCAGGGCATTAAATGCCACCTATAAGGCAAATATCCGTTGATTTTTTAATCCTTTTATGTATCTTCTGACACCATAAAGACAAACAAACTTTCAGTATGGCAACTTAAAGATACTGAGAAAGCAGCAAAATCCTGATTATTACCCTTTTCACGCCCCACCCACTGATGCTGTGCAGATCAAGGAGCATGTCCAGGTCACAGCCGAGCTTCCCAAAGCCGTTCACCGACGAGCCAAATGGTCTGATGGTGCATTCTGGGAAATAGGCACCCACTATGTCTTTGAGGAGAGAGCAGACGAGGAAACGCAGCCTGATGTTTTCCTCTGTCAGCTGATAGGACTTGGTCAGGGAGACTATCTGCTGCTCTACCTGCRAGGAAACATGGAGGAGACGCTTCAAACCAACTCAAATGCAAATAAAAACACCATTTTCTTATGCAATAACCCAAATGCTTACACTCTCCTCAGCGGACAGCCTTTGGATGAGTTCTGTGAAGGGAATGGTGCTCTGAGGCTGACACAGGCTCAACCGTGTGTTCCCCATATCCGCTGTGCTGTGGTTTCTGAAGGACAGAAGTCTCGATTTGAAAGGCACCACGAATTGATGGCTGACACTTGGGATAGAAGCCGATTCAAGTAAAGAGGAGACATTGTCCCGACTGGCAAATTCTACTACAGCATACACTCCCTGTAGAAAACACACAATACCATCATCTACTGAGAAAAACATTAAAAAAACACATCATGTTTGTTTGTTTTTTTACTTACACRGCTTTCATAAAAGAAGTACTTCTTAACGTCTCCGTGATTTGATAGAAACTTGAGGAACTTTTTCTCACTGTTTTTGGATTGGCAGCTGATAAGAACAGATTTCTCCGCCTGTTCTTGCCTCTCCACCAGGAGTTCGTCCAAAGACTTACGCCCATTCTTTTCTGCAAGAACAATTAAGGCATTTTAGGCATCAATTAATCAATCAAAGTCTTAGAAAGATTAAAAAGTATAAAAATGGGACAGCAGAAAGGTTACACAAGTTCTTTATGAGACACAGCTACAGTTCGAAGTTTAAATACAGACTTGTACTTAACTCTGATTTATTTGTAGTTTTTGTAAAACACAAAAAAAACTTTCAACAGCTATAATAAAGTTAACTTGAAACTGACAAAAGTGACAAAAAAATCTAACAAAACTCGACTACTGACAATCAGTCATGACATTTTGATTCAACAGAAGATTTTAATGCAACACTACGTAATGTTCATGTGTACATTTTTATTTACATATTTAAATTTTGACTGAATATTACACACAATTTTTCTTTTTGGACAAAATTAAAGACGCCTAAATTTAGATACGTCATGATGCTTTGTTTGTCTCGTATTAATGTAGGTCGTTAGATGAGCATTGCTGGGGTAACCCAAATATACCAAAAACGAGAGTTTTCTCTATGGAGTTTGCGATTACTGTGCTGCTGCCAAACACTAGCTAGCTTGCTAACTTGCTTAAACAGTTCTCAAGATCTACAAACCGCTTTCGCCTCCCCGAACTGCCTCCGCTTGAGCGAAAACAGCTTTTGTCCCAAAACTCCTGTGAAAAAACGTATCAAGTCTCTGGAAGCAGTTTCCAAAGATAATCTTTCCCCGCATATGTAACCTACACACGTTAAAGGAAAACGCCATTTTTTCTTTGGAATGAAACAAAAGTACGCATGCGCGCGGCTGCGGCTACGGAAAGCAAGAGCTACCAAAAAGGTACTTTGTCATGTCACTCAAAATATTCAGTTTTTTTATTGATATTTGTTTATAAAACATATTTAGATCTTACAACCTTTCATGTGCTTGATAAACTTACATACATTTAATTAGTGTTATTTATTCACGTACACGTTGGAAAAAAGATGTCACGCTTTCAACCTCAGTAAACAGAAAGGGTAAACGAAACCTACAAAGGGAAAGCAAACTCCCTCCTACGCACGTCTGGACTGTAACTTCCTATGTTTCCTTCTTTTTTACGCAGTCAGTCGGTCGGTTCGCGTCAGTCGGCTTCAGACGCTGGAGGTGTAACATGAGAGACAACAGACTGTGTGTGGTTCTGATCCAAAGTGGAACGGTAAGAGCTTTGTTTCTGTTATAATGTTTGTTTCTGAAATAGCCGAAAACGTACATGTCATATTATTATTATTATTATTATTATTATTATTATTATTATTATTAAACGTTTAGTAATTAGCATTTTACAATGCAATCAACTCACTATTATTCGATTTTGACATGATTAGTTGGTAGGCAGTGACATTTATTTGTGTAAAGTAGATTTGTGCTCCAAAGTGAAGAATAAACCCAATTTATTGTTTTATAGCTGCAAAGTGAAGTCGGATCTTTCCCAGGGTTTTGTTCTTTAAAGCCTAACATCCATCTGCTAAAACTCTGTAGTTTTACAGATAATAACCTAACATTTAGTGCAGTATTAGCAGTGGTAGCTGAGAGTGATTCCTAATTAATGACATTTTCAGAAAATAATCATCCATAACTAATTACCTACCGAAGCCAACCAATTTTAATTTGCCCTCCCCGGCCAGCTGACCTTAGGAAAAAGAAAAATGGTTACAGTTCAGCCAGTTTCATAGATACTGAGCTAAAATTTAGTTTGGTTGTAGCTGAGAGTCTTTCAAAACACACACTCCAAAAGCTTCCTTTTGTGTGAGATCTGTGCTTAAAACTTTAGCATTAACTGTTGGAGTTTGTCTGTTAGCAAAATATCTCACGAACCATTTGCCGGATTTTAACCCTCCATGGCATGGTGTTGCCCTCAGGCAACAAACCACTATTTTGGCTCTCACACATTCCCTTTAAAAAATTTTAAAGTTAAGATTCACATTAAAGGTCTGATGACAAGTTTGTGACCAATGATATTTGAGTTTGGAGAGTATGTGACCTTTTGTCTGGGGTCAGAACCACCTTAATGGGACCATGGCTGGTTTGAACACACTGCTATCAGAAGGTGTTACAAATGTAACTTTTTAGCATGTTGACATTTAAATAATTTTGTAAAAAATATACTGTGATGTGCAGAAATGTGTGCAGAAATGTATTTGATTGATGAAATGTATTTTTTACTTTTATTTATACACGGGAATGGTACTTTTTCATTTGTTGCCCCAGGGCAACATTGTGCCGTTAGACCAGTATTGGTTGACCAATAATATGCAAATGTAGTTTAGCAGAAAAACATAATTATCTCCCTAATTTATTATTATTTTTAGTTTGCTGTATTATTCATTATTACTCAGAAAATGGATGCAAAAACATTTTATGGGTGCAAGAAACTTGATCATGCTATAGGAGCCATTTGTAGCTCTGGGTGTTCTGGGTATAGTTTSGGTTCTTATTTTGCTTTTATAGTTCAGTTTGGTTTGGTGGCAGTGTTTGTTTTTTTGGATTGACACTTTGACCTATATTTTTGCTCTACCACTGGTGGCGGTGTGGAGGGGAAATCTATATAGGTGGCAAGGTGAGAAGGAAAGGTGAAGGGTGTAGGGAGGTCACACGGTTTTTACCGCTCTCTGTTAAAATGCTGGTTAACCTCTCTCATTTTCATATTTTGCCATAATTTTCCATCTATTTTGCAAGCTGCCATAGACCACCACTCTGGACTTTGTAATATTTAATAAAAAAAAATATATATATAATAAATGGGAGTATCCCCAAACATATCTCCCAGTCTGGACATTAAACTAATTGGAGTGCGTCAAATGTCTGGATTCCCCCGCACCCAGAAGCGAATAAAAGGTTGGATTTGATAGTCGCTACATTGCAGTTAGGCTCATTCAACGAGGATGGTGAGCTTGAGACTGACAGTGAGGAAGAGTGGACCCCATAATTAGAGTTGAAGGAAAGTTTGAAGATCAAAGTTCAGTCAGCAATGTCTCTCTCTCTCTCTCTCTCTCTCTCTCTCTCTCTCTCTCTCTCTCTCTCTGTGTGTGTGTGTACACTTGTTTTTATGTCATGATTTTAGGACCAAAACCAGTAAACCTTATTGAGACCAAAGTCCGGTCCTAATATGGTGAAACTCCACATTTGGGATGGGGGTTAGGTTTAAAACTAATATAAATTCAGTTTAGGTAATGTTTAGGTTGTTTACACTCTCTCGATGACTCCCCCCACCTCATCCATACTACGAAGGCTAGGATTAGGGTAAGAGGTGTGGGTGAAACTATAGAAACAACTGGAAATGAATGGAAGTCAGTTAAAAATCCCAATAAGGATAGAAATACAAATGTATGTGAACGCGTGCATGCATCAGCAGGTGAAAACAGGTATATGACCTACTTCATCTTTATACTTCCTGGGATTGTRTTAAACAAATGGCCTGTCTGTTGATTAATGAATAAAAATAAAAAAATTAGAAAATTAGACAATATCATGCCTCCCCTTCCACTAATATGGCACGTCATTGTCTCAATACATGGAGAATGTCGTAAAGCAGTCAAATTTATAAGCCATTTGGTGTGACACCACCAACCCCCTTAAAAATCGTAAATAAATTACACTGAAATTGTTGTTGTTTTTTAAAATAAAAAAATATGTATTTATTGCTTGTTTGTTCCTCAGTCCATTGTTATTCAATGTAGAAAAACCTTGGCGTTTTTAGTGCCCTTATAGCATGTTGTTGCCCAGAAGCAACAAACCAAACTCTTGGAGGTGGGGGGGGGGGGGTCACATTTTATGATCAGTATATTAATAGGGACCCCAAAGTTCCAATAAACAAGGGTTAAATATTTTTTCCTAAAATAAAAAGTCATGCCATGGAGGGTTAATGAAACCGTTCAAAATGTAATCAATGGATGCACATCTACAACTGATTCACTTTTGAAACCAGTCCAATTCAAGATGGCTGCCTCAGCTAATCCACAGCACCAAACACAGAAATGTCTATACACAGCCAGTTTTCCAGACATGACCTACATTTTGGTGTGGCAGCAGCTGAGAGTCATACACGCTGAGCGTGATGTCTCATGTCATGGTGTTACACAATATTTTTAAGGTTTGACTGAAACAGCTTCAACTTCGCCATTTCTCAGTAATGAACTTAGTCTTGTGAAAGGGACAGGTGATATTAGTTCCTTTAGGGAATGCAAAACCTTTATTTTAATGTCATATTTAATTTAATTAGGAGTTTCCTGGATTGCATAAAAAGTAACCGTTCCTGTTGTTTGGATTCTAGATTGACTAGTCAAGCAGCAAGATGGAATACAAATATGAGGCTGGACTTGAATTRCTGTTGGCTCACATGAATGTAGAGGACATCATCAACGCAGCAGAGACTCTCTATCAGCTCCAGGAAGAGGAGGAAGAAGAGGACGGAGGCTTGTCCTTTGATGAAGAAAGTCTCTCCCAGGAGGAGATGRATGAGAATGAGGAGGCGGGGGAAATGGTGGGCTTGGGGGAAGAGCAGAAGGACAACGCCAATGGAGTTAGGGGCGTTCGGTACGGGACGGTGACGGACCTCCTGTCATTTGTGAACCTGCTGTCCAACATGCAGGCGACGGCCCTGCAGCACCTGCACCAGGAGATGGGAGTCGTCCTGAACAAGGTGAGAGTCTGCTGTTCTTGTCGTTTGACTGCGAGACATAAATGTTTGCGTAAACGTGTCTTTCATGTGCTTTGATGTGCCTTTGCAGAAAGACATGGCTGTCAAAAAAGGCCGCTATCAGATCAACCTGGACGTACTTCTTTATTCGTGGAAGTTAACCTACAAGAATCACGGCTCAAGCCTTGTGCCCAAGGGCTCCTTTGGGAAAGTCCACTTGGCTCAGGACATCATGACCAAGAAGAGAATGGCCTGCAAACTGGTGAGTTCCGCAGACTGAAAGTCAATCTGGGCTCGACTTCTCAAAATTCTAGCTCTAAGTGCCAAATATGTCCCGTGCCAGGTTGCAGTGCAGCTTGTGCAAAGTTTGCTCACTCACACATAACCTTTGCTGTGTTTTTCTAAAAGAGGAACAATGCTCAGTGCTCTGGAAAATGTAAGCATTAATGCAAGAGTGGAAATTTAAGAAATTCCCGCAGCTGCTCTGGAGGGTTTTGATTGAAATATATATAAATTTACTTATTTTCAAAAATAACACACTTTTCACAACACATTTAATGTTGTTTTGTATGTAAACTGAGTTTTCTTGTGTACTTTTATGTAGAAATGCATGATATATTGGCACTAATATCGGTATCGGTCCGATATTTAATACTGGGCCGATATCAACGTCCGATATTGATTTCCCACTTTTTAGCTTTGTGTTTCTTTTTTGGGAGGGGAGATGGTTGGTAGAATGGCATCTGTTCGATCATGATAGTGATGTTGCTGCTGCGTAGCCATGAATAACTGAAGTAGAGCCATGTCAGAGCTCTGCTCGTTTATTTACAGTAACAAAAAAGACTCAGGTGTGTTTGTGCGTATATGTATAATATAATTTGTGTGTTTGTGTTATGTCGGTAAATATCGGTTATCTGCCAAAACAGCAATAATTATATCGGATATCGGCTGAAATTTTCCTATCGGTGCATCACTACTTTTATGTGTGAGTGTGCATGTGCTTTTTATTACCTTGTCAGGACTGTTAGTACTTGGGGCATACCAGGGCCCATTCCTAATGTAGTGGGAATTGTTTTAAGGTTTGGGGACTAATTGAGTACGGGTTAGGGATAGGGTTAGGGTTAGGTATGTACTAGGATTGGTTAAGATTAGGGGTCAGGGTCTGTGTTAAACCACATAAATGAATAATAACTAATACATCAATAAAAAGAGTCTAGTTTTTAGTTTGGTTTATTAATTTATTCATTTCATTTAAAACCAAACATTTTATACACATTAAAAACAAAA